ATAAAACCCCACAGCACCTGAACTCCAAATCTATTCTGGAGCAGATCTCTGTTAGTCACTCATGCAGATGTGCTTCAGCATATGCTTCTGGTAGCTGACCTATTTCTTCCTTCTGCAATGAGATGAGAACAAGTGTCATCTGGAAGTGCCTATTTCCCACCAGGGAAGGACTAATTTAGGCACAGATGTTCACAATCCAGGCAGCTGCTTTTGATCAGATAAATCCCACACCAAGGTTGTCAGACTCCCAGCGTGTAGGTCAGATTGTTCAGTAAACCCTAAAATACAGTTCTGGGTTCTCTAAGGTAGTAAAGAGGGTCAGGTTCTTCCAGAGGCATTTAGCAACCAGCATGGAGCTGGGTTATGGTGTCCCAGAGTCTGTAGTGAGCTAGAGAGATGCTTGGTGTCACAGACTTCTCACACAGAGCCTAATGGAGCCAGGTACTTCTTTCCCCTTGATTTAACCACCTATAAAATATCAGCTGTACTCCCTGTTTGTTTTGCCTGGTCAATTTTGTTCGCAATTCTTTTGGAAACAGGTTCATTTCTTATGTTCTAGTCTGGGGTCTGCTGATCTTTGGTGTGGGGCCCTGGTATTGTCCTGTTTTCTCAAGCCCTAAGCAAATATACTGAAATGTATGTTATCACCAGGGCTCCCTCCTGGTGCAGAGGGCCATAATTCCATTAGACATAGGGAAGTGAAGCACCAAAGGCTGACTCAGCTCTTCGGAGTTATTTATTCCTACCTCCCACTCCTTTCCATACCTTAAATATCAATGACAAACTGGGCTTAACCAAACTAGAGCAGCTGCCCACTACTCATTGGTGGGAAGGGAGGGAGCTAAACATAAGTGTCTTGGCTAGTATTTTCTCATGAAAGGAATATCCTTCCTTCTCATGAGAGGAACATCCTTCCTATCTTCCAGCTGGTACCATCTGATGACTAAGCATGAATAGGCCCAATGGGCTGATTTGTGTAACTGGGTTGAGAATGGCTGTCTACAGAAGTGATCTGCTATTGTTTGTTTGTTTGTTAAGAGAGAAGTAAATTCTGTAGAAATAATAATAGTAATAATAATAACAACAACAACCCTAAAGACTGACTGACCCCCTTTTGTTTGACCGCAGGGGAAGCACTACATTTGGCCAGAGATTTCGGCTACACCTGTGAAACAGAGTTCCCTGCCAAGGCGGTGGGAGAGCACATTGCCAGGCAGCACATGGAACAGAAAGAGCAGACAGCGAGGAAAAAGATGATCCTAGCGACAAAGTAAGGAGGGGGAACGAGAAAAGAAATCTGTCTGTCACTTCTCCATGTTGGATCTGGGGGCTGGAGGAGGGAGGAGTGGGAGTATGGAGCTGGGAGTGTGGTGAC